AAAAAAAAAAAAAAAAAAAAACCAAACAAAACAAAATGTTGGATGAATGGATATTAAAGATAAAAAATGGGTAGCAGTAGAGGTGGAAGTATGAAGACTAGGAAAATGAAATGCTTGATAGTTTTCAGGTTTGCCACCAGAAATGCAATATTTTAAATACTATCAGACAGAGTGATGTTTAAATATACATGTGTATGTCAGATTTACAGCACTAACAGGTTGCATATATACAGTTCCTTTACCTTTAATAAATTGGCAATTGATATTTTACTGAGTGGGGAATTAAGAACATATGCTATAGGGCCAGGGATTTAGCTCAGTAGTGCCGCTGCTGGCCACGCAAGCACAAGGACCTGAGTTTGACCCCCAGTACCAAAACCATAAAAGAATATAAGCTATAAATTTTGTCCTCAATTGATTTTCCCCCCTTGGCCATTTTTATGACTTGAGGTATAAGTTATATATATATTTTTTTTCCTCATTGAGTTTATTGGTACATTTTAGGTATACAGTAGCTATGAGTTGTATTTTAAGACTTTCTACACAGTTTGGAAGTTTGGTGCTATATGAAGAAAAACATTAAGAATATATCATATTTCAGATGTAGACACCTTATTATATTGAATGTAATTGATTTACTGGTTACAAAAACTTGCCTCCTCTCAAAATGGTGCCTGTTAACCTAAATTTAGAATATATTTGTTACATGCAAAATATTTCTTAGATAGCCACTTTTAAGCAGTAATATTTTATCTGAGTGGATGTTCATTTATACATCCTATAATTATTTAAATTATTACTTAAGCTCACCCTGAAAGAAAAAAAAATAAAGCTTAACATTGAAAATAATAATAATAATAATAAAGCAGATATCTCAAAGGCAGAAATACAGAAGTCTCATGTGAAACTCAACTAAAACAGCCTTGCCAGAATTGTGCGATTTTAAAACAGTGAGAAATAAGCTGTTTGGCTAGAGCTGAAATGCACAGGCTCTGAAATCAGTAGAACATTCCAGAACCCTAAACAGGTGAATGATGCAAAGAGACTGAGGGAAGCCTCCCAGGTGGACAGGGCCCCTCTCTCAACCCGGCGCCCATCCCAGCTCACCTCCACTGGCAGTTCTGCAGACGTGTTCCAGGCACTTGGGGTCCACTCCTTAGAGATGCTGACCTTGACATTGCTAAATGTTTTTCTTGAAGCATGGAGCAATGAATAGCTACAAAACAGAGAGAAGAAATACTGCTGGGTGAGGAACAGAAAAAACAGCATGCAATGAAACTCCAGATGTGACTGACCTCGAGCCTCTGCATCACGGGCCAGTCCCATAAAGAGCTGAGAGTCTTTAGCAACTATGGCCGCCTGCTGCACAACCACTCAGGAGCCTCTCCCTGGGATCTTTGTCTTTTCCTCACAGTGTGATACCTGCCCCCCAAAAAATGGATACCCCAAACCAATCATCCAAAATTGCCTAGCAACTCATAATTAGAGAATCATTTTCCTTGTTGCAGCCTGAAAACAAAAAATAAAGCCACCTTCTATGGGTACCTTCAATAAAAATTAATAATAAAATCCACCCAGATACTAGCAAAGCAGTTCTGTACAGGGGTACATCTGACCTGCCCCAACACCCCACAGCCTTGTTTACATGATGTTACAAAGAGAATCCCTGAGGCACAGGGTCCTCTCCTGCCAGGGCCCACACCAGCCAAGCCACAGGGGTTACCAGGGCTCCCAAAATGGTGCGCACTGCACTCACTGCTAGGCAGGCACAGGGCATGCCAGCCCTGAATATGCACACTCTGGATCCCAAGCTCCTCCTCCACAGATGCAGCACACAGTACTAGCCAGGGGTTCTCGCCTCCATACTGGTGAGTCTGCCCGAATGCTCCTGGTTGGGGGCCCCAGGCCTGGAAGGATGTTCAGCAGCACCCTAGTCTTTGACACATGCCCCAAACAGTACCCCCCCTCATCATGACAATCACACTATCTCCACATACTGTCACGTGTCCCCTGGAAGGTAAAATGGCTTCAGAACTACTTTATTAGACCTGCTGACAAGTTCAACAAGAGGGGCTGGGGATTTAGCTCAGTGGTTCCACCACCTGCTTTCCAAGTGCAAGGTCCCAAGTTTTGAGCCCCGTACCAAAAATAAGTAAATAAATAAATAAATACATTTTTAAAGGGGGGGGGGCTGAGGATGCAGCTTAGTGTGAAAACCCTAGGTTCAATCCCCAGTACTGCAAAAATAAAATTAGTAAATAAATAAAAAATAGTTCAACAGAATTAGGGAATTCAAGTCTGTGGTTAAGAACTGGATTTGCAGGGCCACGGATTTAGCTCAGAGGTTCTACTGTCTGTCTCACAAGCACAAGGTCCGGAGTTTGATCCCCGGTACCAAAAACAAACAAACAAACAAAAGAACTGGATTTCCATGTATAGAGCCCAGGATTCAATAGCCAGTGCTGCCAAAAGAGAATTATTAAATCAAAATGAAAGGCTGGGGATATAGCTCAGTGGCTCAGCACCTGCTGGGCAAGCAGGAGGTCCTGAGTTCAATTTCCGGTACCAATAAAAAAGGAAAAAGAGAGAAGAGGGAAAATGAAGCTATGCATGGTGACACAAACCTATAATTCCCACACTCTGCGAAACTGAGGCCAACCTGGGCAATTTAGTGATTTATCAAGACCCTGTCTCAAAATATTTATTTTTTATTTTTTTGAGGTAAGGTCTCACTATACAGCCCAGGCTAACTCGAAATGATTCCCCAGCTTCAGCCTTCTGAGTGCTGGGATTACAGGGAGATGCCACCACAATCAGCTTTGAAATGTAAAAATTTTTTAAAGGGGCAGGGATGTTCAAACCCCTGTACTGCAAAAAATTAAATTAATACAATTCAATTAAGATTTTGAGCTGGGCTCTACTCCCAGCACTCAGGCAGCTGCGGCAGAAGGATCACTGTCCAGCCTAGCTACATAGTGAGTTCAAGGCCAGCCTGAACTACAAAGTGAGACCCTGTCTCAAAAAAACAAAAATTTGAGTTAAGAAAGTTATATCACATATTTAGGGAAAACAGTCCAGCAGAGGGTGGCTGGGAGTGTGACTCAGTTGGCAGAGGCCCTAGGTTTAACTGCTAGCACCACAACCAAAACCAAACAGACCAACCAGAAGAGAAACTGCGTTCATGAGAAGCCTTTGCTGATGGACGGACCACACATGAGGGAAGGCGAGCAGCTCTAGCCAAGCGCTACCTGAAGAAGGTGAGCAGGAACACGACGACATGGTGGTGGCTGAAGCGGGTGAGCAGAGCTCCTCTCTGGAACATGCCGGGCCAGGCCATGGCCCCCTGGACCTTCCTGCACATCCGAACAGGGAGTGCTTCACATTATTTCCTCTTTCTGCAAAGAGAAAGTAGATTTCCCAATCATCCAACGCAGATTTTATAAAACCCGAATTAATCATTCATGACCAATCAACAAATAATCAGGCCTTGAGGGAAAAATCTCACGAGCTAGATGACACCAGAAAACTGGACCAAAAATTAATGCTTTATGGTTATTTGTTATTCTGGGGCAAGTAGGAACCTTGATGAAAAACTACTTGTATACTAACAGAATTTTCATACAAACTGAGAAGAAAATCACTAATTCTTATAGAAAAACAAGCAAAGGAAATGAAAGGAAAACCTAGAAGAAATAAACTACCAAACATAACAAACAAAAATTTCAACTGGATGTGTTTTTGCACACCTGTAAACTGAGCAATTGGAAGACTGAGGCAGGAAGATCACTGAGAGTTCAAGGCCAGCTTGGGCTACATAGTGAGTACAAGACCAACGAACTACACAGTAAAACTCTTATCTCAAGACAAAACAAATAAGCCAGGTGTGATGACGCATGACTGTAATCCCAGCACTGGGGAGGCTGAGGCAGGAGGATCGCTGTGGGTTCGAGACCAGTCTGGGCTACATAGTGAGTTCCAGGTCAGTCTCAACTACATAGTGAGACCCTGTCTCAAAAAACCAAATCAAACCAAAACAAAACAAAAAAACAAACAAATAAATAAATCAAAAGCCCCAAACCCACTAATAATATTAGAAATGCAACTTAAGCCAAGAAATTGCCTGCAGAGTTAGAAGACTGCTAGGGACTAGGTACAGCTCCACAGAGAGAGTACCTGAATGAGCCCTGAGTTCCTCAGGGCCCAGATAGTGCAAAAGCAGAGCAAGGTGTGGTTCATCCTGACTACGCACACACTGTTACTCAAAATGCCCATCAGTACACTACAGGAAGACCATCAAGCCACGGTCATTAATGCCTCTGACACAGAACCCAATCACCTGGAATGAACTCCTAAAGAAATACAAGATGATTCAAGTACACGAGCAAAGGCCACCTTTACAAAGCATCACAGCTTTTATACCAAAGTACACTGTGTCTGCCACAAAAGAACAGTGGCACAGCGAGGGCTGCTCTCTGACTGCTCTGTGACGCCTCTTTCCACACCTTGACAGCTCTGCAGTTTCCATGCCCTCTAAGCCACATCAGCTGCCACCCAAAAACACTGAGCACAAAGCTCCTAGGCTCGAACAGTCTCCAGAGATGAGTCTGCAGCAGCATATGCAGTAACAGGCAAGAGTACCACACAACAGGGCTATGTTCCATCAGCTAAACCACCTGCCAGAAATTAAATGGCTTTTCACAGGATGGAATGTTGCTCAGTAGTAAAGCACTGAACTAGCATGCGTGAAGCCCAGGTTCCATCCCAGCACCACAGAAAAATACTTTTTTTTTTTTTTTTGGTGCGGGGAGACAGAGAGTCACTATGTAGTTCAGGCTGGCCTCAAATTTGTGGCAATCTGCCTCCCAAGTGCTGGGATTATGGGCACGTGCCACCATGCCTGGCAGAAAAATATTGTTTTTGTTTTTAGATAGGGTCTCACTATGTAGTTCAGGCTGGCTTTGAATTTACTATGCAGCCCAAGCTAGCCTCAAACGTGTGACGATCCTCCTGCCTCAGACACCCAAGTACTGGGATTACATGCATGTACCACCATGCCCGGCTAGAAAAATATCCTTTTTTTTTTTTTTTGGTTTTTTGAGACAGGGTCTCACTATGTAGTTGAGACTGACCTGGAACTCACTATGTAGTCCAGGCTGGTCTTGAACTCACAGCGATTCTCCTGCCTCAGCCTCCCAAATGCTGGGATTACAGGCGTGCGCCAGAAAAATACTTTTTAATGACAATGAAAATGACAAGTGGGCTGGGGATTTAGCTCAGTGGTTCTGCCACCTGTCTTGCAAGCACAAGGTCCCGAGTTCGATCCCTGGTACCACAAAAAGAAAAAAAAAAAAAAGAATTAGCAAATTTTGGGCCATGGATTTAGCTCAGTGGTTCCAGCACCTGCCTCGCAAGCACAAGGACCTGAGTTCGACCCCTGGTACCAAAAAAAAAAAGAGAGAGAGAGAGAGAGAAAATGACAAGAGCTGAGAGCCATTCTACATAACTTTGGGGAAATAAATTATGATTAAGACTAAGGCCCAATGTCACCTTGCCCTCAGCTGGCTATGGCATGTGGAAACACTATTTTGCTTCCAGTCACAAGTTGAGGACTCAATGGTACAATGACACTGTGATGCTCAAGGGCAAGAGTACATCAGCTGAAGACATCCTAGGTAGTAATAAAAAAATAATAATAAATAAAAGGAGAAAGGTTTCACCTGAGGGAATAAATTCTTTATTAGCCTGCTATCTCATCCCACCTACTACTATAAGAATGTTTTCCTATCTCACCATCCTCATCAACCTAAGATCCTCATCAACATAAGATCATCTCCCCCCCAAGTCACCCGATACTCCAATTATCATGTGTACCCAATAAATAATGGCCAGCTTGGAGTGTCTCGTCTTTGCCCACTCTGGCACTGACCTCCCAAGCTCTCCCCAACCCCGTATTTCAAAATTATGTCTCTATCGTCTCTCTGTGTAGGCAGATCGAGGATTGATTGGCCTCCAAGAGGCAAGGGAAAATAGTGGTCTCTTAAGTCATCTTTCTCTCACTGAAGAAACAAAATATCTGACATCCAAAGTTAAAGCAGGTGAGGTTTATTTAGCTCACAGTGTGTAGAGGTTTCAGTCCATAACTGGCTGGCAGAGTGGCACAGGAAGAAGGGTGTCACGGAGGAGAAACAGTGTGGGGCACCCAAAGGTAGCAAAAGCAACAAGGGACCTTATTGACACCTTTCTGCCCCCTTTATTTTATCAGGACTACTGGGATTAGGGTGGTACCAAACCAATCATCGGACTGATTGAGCCATCACATGCCCTGCATCCTAGCATCACACATTCTACATTCAACCAGCTCTGAACAAGCCCTAAGCCCATGAGGTTTTGGGGGGACATCTATACACAAGCCACAGCAAGTGGTCTATGACTCAACTCTTTACAAATAAATAGAGAATATACCAGTTTTTTCTAGGCATTCAAATTACAGGTAATGTTAATTTTCTTCTGCATATTTTCCTAAAAATTATATAGTAAACATGCATATTATTATTAGAAAAGTCCTGAGTTCCATCCCAAGTACAAAAAAAAAGAAAGAAAAGCCTTATAGCTGGTCTGTTATACAGATATATATATATTGCGGTTCCCCCTGCTATACTGGGGATCAAACTCAGCACCTTGCACTTGCCAGGCAGGCACCAGCACCACTGGGCTAAACTCCCAGCCCTGACCTGCTTATCAGGAAAGAAATTTAAAATGACTTGTTTAACATACTAGAGAAGTCAAAGTAGGAGACAAACCCAAGAGTTGCCAGTACCTAAAACAGAGAAAGAAACCAGGCATGGTGGTGCATACCTGGTATCCCAGCACTCTGGGAGGCTGAGGCAGAAGGATCACAAGGTTCAACCCAGCCTGGAAAATGTAGCAACTTAGACGTATCTCAAAATAATAAAAATTTAAAAGTGTTAGGAATATACCTCAATCCCCAGTACCATATTTAAAAAGAGAGAGAGAGGGCCAGGGATTTGGCTCAGTGGCACTGCGCCTGCCTTGCAAGCACAACAACCTGGGTTCGATCCCCGGTACCAAAAAACAAAACAAAACAAAACAAAAATAACATTGCAATAAAACCTGACTTTAACAAAAAACAAACAAACAAAAAAAAACAAAAATAAAAAGAGAGAAGAGCTAGGGTTATAGCTCAGCCACAGAACATTTGCCTGCTATGCACTAGGCCCTAGGTTTAATCCACAGTACCACAAATAAGAACAAAGTATAGCCAGGCATGGTGGCGAACACCTGTAATCCCAGCACTCGGGAGGCTGAGGCAGGAGGATCGCTGTGAGTTCGAGACCAGCCTGGGCTACATAGTGAGTTCCAGGTCAGTCTCAACTACATAGTGAGACCCTGTCTCAAAAAAAAGAAAGGAAAAGAAAAGAACAAAGTATAAAGTAGAATAAAACAGAGAATCATAGGGCTTTTAGGCTGAAGGCTGAGGCAGGAGGATCGCTGTGAGGTCGAGACCAGCCTGGGCTACATAGTGAGTTCCAGGTCAGTCTCAACTACATAGTGAGACCCTGTCTCAAAAAAAAGAAAGGAAAAGAAAAGAACAAAGTATAAAGTAGAATAAAACAGAGAATCATAGGGCTTTGTTTTCATATACAGGTTGACCGCGACAGGCTAGTTTTCACTCATCAATAAATGTCAAGGCTGAGACCCAGCAGAGCAGCAATTCTTGCAACTTTTGGGTGAGAGGAATGGGGCGACCAGAAAGTGAAAAGAGACGGGGCAGAGTGGTACACGCCTCTAATCCCAGCCCTCGGGAGGCTGAGGCACAAGTATCATCACAAGTTTGAGGCCAGCCTGGGCTACACAATGAGTTCAAGGCCAGTCTGAACGAGATAGTGAGATCTTGCCTCAAAAAACAAAAACCAAACAAAACAAGAGAAGGCTCTTTCCTGTCCACCACCAAGGTCCAGGAAGCACCAGTACAGTAAAAGGCAGAGAAGCAAACAGGCCTCTCTGCTCAGGTTCCTCACAGCCTTTGGCTGCCGCAGTCCTTCCTTCCACATGGGGTAGGATCTTCTGTGGAATGACAAGATAGCTCAGAGAACTACGCATGTTCAGCTCTAATGCAGAAAGGTAGGGCGAACTGGAGTGCTAGCTTTAGGGTTTCTAGCTTGCTCGGGGAAAGCGGGTTCTAGTTTCTAGGAACCACCTTGGGGAAGAGAAATTCTAGTATCTACGCCTGGCCTTGGGAAAGAATGAGGTAAAGAGGTCAGAGACAGACCTTGCTTTTGGTTCTGAGGCTGTTTCTGAAGGCTTTACTTTGAGGCATCATAGAGATGGTGAAAATTATCTACATATTACAGCTGCTTCACCCGTGAGCCTGAGC